CATCATCATCATCAGCAGCATCATAATCATCACCATCAGCAGCAGCATAATCAGCACCAGCAACAACATCATCATCAGCACCACCATCGTCAGCATCATAATCACTACCACCATCAACACAATCATCATCATCACAACCATCAACAGCAACAACATCACAATCATCATCAACAATGTCGTCATCACCGCCATCATGATCGTCATCAACATCAGCCTCATCACCATCAGCATCATCACCGTCATCATCGTCATCACGATTAGTAGCAGCAGTACTATCATCGTCGTCATCATCATCACCATCCGCAGCAGCAACACCATCATCATAATCAGCATATTCACCATCATCAACATCATCATCGCCGCCATTACCACCGTCATCCTCATCACCATTGTCATCATCACCATCATCGTCATCACCATCGCCGTCATTATCACCATCATCGCCCTCAGCTTCGGCACGCCCCTCACACGGTTCGTGGCTCCATAAGGCGCCCCACCCAAAATCCAACTGGCGCAGCCCGCATATGAGCGTCACCCTTCGCACGCTCCGTGGCCGCATAACCGAATGACCCGGATAATGATACATGACCCTCTCTAACCCCTGGTGTTGATTACGTCCGGCCAAAACATTTCTGGTCGGCGGCTATTCTCTTGCACAGGGCGTCTAGACCTCCGACCACTTGATATTTCGCGTCGCAACCCCCCTCCCCACCTTCCGTTCCACCTGCAAAACCAAGTTGCGGGCGGGTGGGTGGGATGGTCGCGCGAGCAGTGGAATTGACAGCTCCTAATGTTCCACAACTAATCCCACTACGAAATTATCCTTTCTTTTTACAACCGAAATCCCACCCCCAGCACCACCCGGGGGTTATCCACCCAGCCTCGCGCATTGTAAATTACAGCTGTTCCTGCCCCATCGCCCATCTTAAAAACGAACACACACACAAAGGGGGCCAGTATCTGCCCCCTCCCGCCATCTCCTGCAAAACAATAATGAGCGCACACTCGTGTGTCAAAAGCCATCAGTTTTCAATCATCCCTTTGCGAAAAAGTTGACGACATGCACACGCGCGCGTCGTTGCGCGCGCATGCCGAAACCCATTTAAAACAGCTTGTACCGTAACATTGTAATATCCGGCTCCGAAGTACAAATAAAACACATAGTTTCGCAAAGCAGATGTTCAAACAAAATTGCGCGCGCGCCCTTGCGAATTGACGAGGAAACAGTCAGCGTTTCACAGTGTTCACCAAAAGGGCTTCGCGCGCATGTCGAAATCGTTCGAACGCCCTTGCGCGCGTGCTGTCGCAAACATCCTTTGCAAGAAAATGGGGCGAAGTGCACACTCGCGCATCGTCGCGCACGCATGCCAAATGTGTCAAAACATTTGGTTCCGTAGCGATTTCAAAACGGAGTGTCCGAAAAACACATGAAGCGCACATAGTTTCGCATCAGCTTTTGTTTTATGTGCGTACGTAAATGTACTCTTTTGGTTTTGGCATAACGTCAAACTGCGCCCCTGCGAATTCTTGGTGGAAAATTCAATATTCTACAGTTTCCTGGAATTCTACCAAGCGGAACTCTCGCGCCGCATCCCGACATCATCCGCACGCCCTTTTCCGCGCGTGCTGGGGAAGGGAGGCACGAACCGTGTCAAACAATACCATGCGGGTCAATCTGGCGCGTCGGCCGCGCGCGCGCGTGCCGAACTTTTCCCAAAACCTGCATCACCGACGCGAGGGCGCCGTCGTCGTCGTCGGCGTGATCAACATCGGCGCCGTCACTGGCCGCGCCGTCGTCGTTGCCAACATCGCCACCAGCATTGTTTTTTCCATAATCGTGTCTACCATCGTCGACGTTGCCATGATACCGCGCCCGCCCAAGTCGCCAACTCGCACTGAAGTGCCCGCTGGGATGTGCCCAGCGGTCAACGCCCCCGCGGCCGCGTCGGCCGCGCCAAACTAGCTGGCCGCTGCGCGCGCGTGCTTCGGTCGGCACGGCCGCAGAGATGGACCAGCCAACGCCAAGCACTCATCGCAGTCGCAGTCGCATGAGTTTTGCAAACCAAATTGCGGCTGGGTGAGTGGGATGTTTGCAAGAGCATGGGGACGTGATAACTCGTGTATGCAAAAAACAAATGCACCACATAGATTGCACCACGTAGATTGCACAACATAGATCGAACCACATAGGTTGCACCACGCCGATTGCACCACATATGATGCACACAACAATTCGCACAACATACATTACAGTATATCACATATATTGCACAACAGTAGGTTACACAACAGAGATTGCACCACGTAGATTGCATCTCGTAGATTGCACAAAATCGGTTGCACCACATAAGTTGAACCACGCAGATTGCACCACGTAGACTGCACCACATAGATTGCAGAACATAGATTACACAGCATGTCTTCGAACTACATAGATTGCATAACATATAGAACTCCACATGTGTTGCACCACATAGATTGCTAGAAACACACTTTGGGGTCCACACTGGCTTGCATATAAGGTCAGCATATGCGATCACTTGAGAATGCATCGGTCCGAAGGCACCAGGTTGACAGACGCGCTGCAGGCCAGGAACGCAGTCACATCAAAGGCCACCTGTACCACTTCATGCGCAAGACGTTCCAAAACAAATGAAAGGCAAACTGGCATCAAATATCAATCATGTGCAAGAACATCCCGGTCCCCACGCCGGCCAGCGCATTACCGTATAATACCGGATTGCGCGCAATGCGCTATGGAAGGTCAGGTGTTTTCAAGCCTCTACTGCTCAAGTCGGTGCAGACGCATGTTGCAATCATGCTGCGCATAGTATGCCTGTCATGCATGTGCACACTAGCCGCCGTACACATTTACACGCAGGCAGTGTAGCGAGTGCTCACAAATACTGATTAGGCATAAGTAATACGGGCTTCCAGGCAATGAGATTCGCGTGTGAACGCTGCCAATGGGTACAACTACGATCGTAATAAACGGTACCCAGATGATCACAAGTGGGCACCATCCAACTGTATTTATGTACATGCCAAGATGAGCACTCTCCAGAGCGCATGTGCTTACGTGTAGGCACAGACCCACATCAACATGTAGAGCCATCGATCATGCCACGCGTGTCTCGAATGCGCATGCGCCAACGCCGAAGCGAGCTGAACGAGTGTACCTTTCGATTGAGTGCAGATAATTTGATTTACTACACCTGTCGATCTCTCTCTCTCGCTCTCACGTCCTCTCTCTCTCTCTCGTTCTCTCTCTCTCTCTCGCTCTGTCTCTCTGTTTCCCTGACTCTTCCTCTGATCGTCTTGTCTTCAGGCGGCGAAGAAAGAAGAAAATCATACAAGGTACGGTGTAAGTACCACCCCCCCTGAAGCACTTCGCAATTTGCAGCTTACAGCATCCGCCACCATGCCGCTGGGCACGGAGTGGGCGCGTCCTCAGGTCCTTTGCCGAATTGTTTGAGCCTCAGTCTTCAGTCCTGAGGGTTTGAGGGGCCAAGACCCTAGAAGGCCCCGTTACGCCCAGAGATCTCGGCATCGGCCCACGACGCACAAGATGGCCCCCAGACGGCCAGGAGGCCTCCAAGGCGCCACAAGAGGCCTCCACGAGGCCTCCCAAGATAGCCACACGAGGCCAAAGTCATTGCTTTCCCCTGGGTGCTTGAGAATTTTTGGCTTTCTCGCCTGTTCGGCTTCCCGACGCTCCCAGACGGCCTTAGAGTCTCTCTCCCTCTCCTGGCCGAGGGCCAGGAGGCTATGTATACTTGTCCTCGTCGGCGGCGAGGCAGAGGCAGCCCGCACCAGCGTGAGGCCCATCGGGGCAACCGAAAGGCGAATTGCCCGGCGCGCAAGAGGAAGGAACGACGACGAGGGCGGCCGCGCGAGGGGAGGAGGGGGGAAGCGCTCATAGAGGCCTCCTAGATGGGGTCCGAGTAGATGGGGTCAGAGGATCTTGCCGCATCGCCGATACGTCAGCGATGCATCGGCGACGTCGGCGACGCATCAGTGACGTCGGCGTGGGGAAAATCGGGCTCTGCATCGAGCCGCATCGCCGATGCATCGGCGATGCGGCGCGATCCTCTGATCCCATCTACTCCCGACCAATCTAGGAGGCCTAGAGCTCAGACGTCCCGAGGCTATGTATGCACACCGTCCTGGGGCCACGGATGGCCCTGGCTGGGCTTGGCGGCGTACAGGTGCTTCTGTGGACCGGACCGCGACGAGCCAAGCGCGGCCATCTTCGCGCCCCCGCGGGCGACCTGCGACCTGGTGAACGGCCTGTGGCAACGCATGGAGGCCCCCCGTGCCATCGTGTCAGCTCTCGCGGATCGACGCTGACCGACGCCATCGACGCTGGTCGACGCAAAATCAACATCAATCAACGCTAAGTCGGCGCTCTCCCGTCGATTACCGGACGCTGGCGCACGCTGATGCACTCTAAAGATGGAGTGGCGAGGAGATACTTGACTCCCACCGAATGAATCTGAGCTGCACGCGACTTTGACGATCTCAAATGGCGCTCAAGCTCTAGAGCGGAAGAGTTGGCAGGCTCCAAAGGGTGCAGAACAACATGAGTAAGCTTCACAACAGCAGACGTTGTCCCAAACCCACAGCGGCAACTGTTTGGCAGGCGACTGGCTGCATCAAACGGACTACGTCCACAACGACGCAGAAGGCGAAGCCAGACCAAAATTCAAAGGAACTGCTGTCGGTCTTCGACCCCACTCCCTCCGTCCCAATTCTGGTCGCACCGAGAGAGAACGACTGTTTGTCCCGAGGGTCCGCGCTCCGGCGCATGCACGTCGCGCCATGCCGATGCCGACGCCGTTGATCGAGGAACAACGAACATAGACATAAACGTTCGAAGGTCCGCGCGGATGTCTTGCATCGACCCTTGATCCGCAGGCGCCGCCAAGGGGCCCAGCGCCAGGAATTCCGCACGGAGCTCCGAAAACGCATGCTTGTATAATCCGTTGCTCCTCGATGTGTGGCTCCATGCCTTCGACGAGCGCGTCTGCCCGCGCACGGCAACCGCCGGGCTGGCAAATTAATGAGCTCGGAGGTGCCCGGGCAGCGGATACTAGCACGGTGCGAGCCTGTCGCCGTTTACCCCTGGGAAGGGCATGTCACACGTGGCCATCGGCCCCAACGTCTCAGACATAGGTAGGGAAACGAACTCTATACACCGACGTTTTTTTTCCGACCATGCGCTGGAATTCGCACAGGAACGCGGATCCTGGTGTATACGGGATCCTGGTGTACACATGTTTCGTTGTTTCCCCCGGGAAAGCGGGGAACAAATATACACCACACCACCCCGACGTCGTCACCGACCCTCAAAAAGTCGTGGAATTGAAAAGCTGCCCGCCACTGGTAATGTAGATGTTTCAGTTTCCGAACCGGGGCCAGCCACCCTGAACATATTTAAAACATGTTTGAGATATCTTCTAGACATCCGGAGATTATTCGGCAGCACGCTTCCTCTTCATTAATCGACTTCCACAGGGCCAGCCGCCCTGCACACCTGACCAGGGGGACCTCCTCACTGGGGAACGCCATCCCGCCCCAGAGGAAACAGCCTTTTTCCACGAGCAAGGCGCCTGGCTGGTGGCCGCCCGTGGGTGCCGCGGGGGCGCCTCGTGCGCTCGGCGGGCGTGCAGAGGTTTCGCCCTTTGCTAAAGGCCCGGGGGCTGCCTCCACAGGGGGAAGCTGACCCTAGATTTCGGCGCTGGTGGTAATAGTTCGGCCACCTTGGAAGCCAGAACATTACCACCATCACCGGAGATGGGGATCGTCTTCCCTCGGTTTGGGACGGCCGAAATGGGTACGGAAAACATGGGTACAATGCCCAACAACAAATGTTGTCCCAAACCAGCAGCGGCCGCTGTTGGGCAGGCGGCCTTCTGCCTCAAGTGGACACACGCCGCGGCGGCGTGGACAGCGAGTCCTGCTCAAAATGATCAGGAACTGCTGTTGGGCATTGCACCCATCCTTTCCGCACCCGATTCGTTCGTGCCGATCGGTGGAGGCACACCGCCGATCTTGGTGTTGGTGTCAACCTCTAGGCCTGCGAAGAGGCCTCGCCTGGTGCCCGCCCGAGCCCACCCGTGGGCGCCTCATGTTGGACGCCCGAGTTATCCGGGGTAACTCGGGTCCGGGGTAACTCGGGTTTGGGTCCCCGAAAAACGAACCCGAGTTAGCCCTGACCCGAATTACCCCTGATGCTTTTGGGGCTCTGAACGCCCGAGTTATCCGGGGTAACTCGGGTCCAGGACAAATCGGGTTCGGAATCCCGAAAAACGAACCCGAGTTAGCCCTGACCCGAGCTACCCCTGCTGATTCGGGGCTCTGATCATGCGCGCCGGGTGGGCGTGGCGGGCATCCGCCCGGGTGCCCGCCGGCGGCCTCCCGCGGGCGCCGGGCGGTGGCTGGCGCCGAGGCTTCGCCCGGGTGCCCGCCGGTGGCCGCCCGTGGGCGCCTCGCGGGCGCCTCGTGCGCTGGACGGCCGAATATCTGTGCACCAACATCAACACAGGGGGTTGCCTCCACAGGGGGAAGCTGATCCTGGATTTCGGTGCTGGTGGTCAAGTGTCGGCCACCCTGGAAGCCAGAAGACGACCAGCATCACCGAGATCGGGGTCGTCTTGCCTCGGTGGAGGCACACCGCCAATCTTGGTGTTGGTGTCAACCTCAAGGCCTGGGACAGTGCCCGCCAGTGGCCGCTCGAGGGCGCCTCGTGGGAGCCTCGTGCGCTGGGCGGCCGAATATCTTGCACAGCGTGGCATGCACCACTTTGGACGCCCGAAGTGGGTACGGAAACAATGGGCAAAATGCCCAACAACAAGTGTCGTCCCAAACCAAACCAACAGCGGCCGCTGTTGGGCAGGCGGCCTTCTGTCCCAAGTGGACACGGGCTGCGGCGGCGCGGACGGCGAATCCTGTTCAAAATGAACAGGGACTGCTGTTGAGCATTGTACCCATTCTTTCCGTGCCCATTTCGTTCGTGCAGAACCACAGACATTCTCACGTCAAAGAAAAATATGACCCAACCCCATCCAGAGCCCGGGCTTAACCGCTCGCCTTCTCGCATTGCAACTTGCAAATGATTGTGCCTCATACCTTCTGTTCCGTATGGCCCTGGACCATCCCGGCCGGGAAGGAACTGACCCCCCGCCCCTGGCCACCCTCAGTTAATGAATACCATTCGCGCACACAACAAAACATGATTATTCAAATACGGCCCGCAAAACCAAATTTGCGACACATGTCAAAGCCAGCCAAAGAACAGCAAGTGGTGCTGCAAGCATGTCAAATTAAAACTGACAGTCTTGCTTGCATTCATCATTTTGCAGATGTGCTGCCGGTGGGCACTTGCTGACACCATCGGGAAATCATATGAGTGTAGCAATCTTGTCTGGAAAACGCGTCCTCATTTCACAGCGCGGTGGATCCCTGGCATGCGCCCAGTGAACGAACTCGTATCACATTCGCCAGCCCGACAGGACAAAGGCGTGTTAAAATTTAGGTCGCGCGCGTGGCGGCCCCCGTGGGAGCCCGGACGAGAAAAACCCCGGCCCGGTCCCATCTCGGGGCTCTTTTGGGGGCCTCTTCGGCCGTCTTGGGGCGGTCTTGGGGGCGTCGTCGGCCGTCTTCGAGCGTCGGAAGGTCGAAAACGCGAGAACCCGAAAAACATCAAAACAAAAACACTGAATATCAAGGATGTGGGCCTCTTCGGGCTCTCTCGGGACGCCGCTCGGATCTCTCTTGAGGCCTCTTGAAGGCCTCGTGGGCTGTGTATTTGCCGTGTTGGGCCCATCTGAGGGCACGTTGGGGCTATCGGAGCTGTCTTGGAGCGACTTGGCGCCTCCCGCTCGCGCTCTGTGGCTCAGCTTGGGCCTGTCCTGGGGCTCTCTTGGGCCGTCCGGGCTCCTCCTGGGCAAATTTCAAACTCCCTGGTGCCCTCTCGGGGCTTTTTGGGGGGCCTCTTCGGAGGTCTTGGGGTGGTCTTGGGGGCGTCGTCGGCCGTCTTCGAGCGTCGGAAGGTCGAAAACGCGAGAACCCGAAAAACATTGAAAAACCAAATGGAAATCAATGCTTTTGGCCTCTTCGGGCTGTCTCGGGATGCTTCTCGGAGATCTATTGAGGCCTCTTGGAGGCCTCTTGGCCTGTGTATTTGCGGTCTCGAACCCATCTTGGGCCACGTTGGGGCTATCTGGGCTGTCTTGGAGAGACTTCTCGAAGTCCCCGAGGGCTTCTGGGAGCTCTCTGGGGCAGTGTGGGAGCTCCAGGGTCACTCTGGGGTGCTCTGGGAGCGGTCTGGGAAACCCCGGTCCTCCCATGCCCCCTCGTGGCCCGGGCCCCGGGCGCCCGGGCCTCGTGCACGGGTGTGTGTATATATATATATATATACACACATGTACATTCACCACATGACGTACAGCGCCTCGCTGACGCTAACTAGCCTGCACCGGATAGCGTACAGAACAAAACTGGCACTCCATAGCTTACACCACAGAGCTTGGACCACATAGCTTGCACCGTATAGCTTGCACCACATAGCTTCCAACACACAGGTTGCACCGCATAGTTTGCACCACATCGCTGACACATCCACATTGCAACACCTTACAACTTGGGGCCCACGCTGAGACGCGTATGATTCGAAACAAAATGCAACGAAACTTGAAAATGAGCAGAGCATGAGCCGGATAACCACTCAATAACACACACGAACTCAGATTAGAAACAAGCAGGGGTGCGAGGACCGCAGAAAAGCTAGCTTGAGCTGTAACATTTCACACGTGGCGCCACGATCGGTTGCAACATGCGATGCCGACTAACGGCATGTGCTACCGAAACTTGTTCGAAGAATCGCCGAAACGAGAAGTTCACTGACAACACGTGCATAATCATGTCGTTGCTCATTGCTGACAGCTTGCCCGTGAATTCGACCCAGCGCCTGATTGAGCACCTCCCGAGCTGAGGTGGCAGAGCACATGCCCCACGCCCGCAAAAAAAGACATTGGCACTGAACTACCGTAAATTAGACAGAAACTGAAACCGCGCCTCTCTGAAATCCGACGGCCCGTGCCAGGATGGCTGGCTGAGAGTCCAAGGGGTGGCCAATGGGAAGGTTGGGCATGGGTTGGGCGTCTCTTTTAGCTTCTTCACTGGGGGGCTCCCTGGACCGAATGCAAATTTCGCCCAGCGACTTCCAAATGGGGTCCGAATAGATGGGGTCATCACGCCGCATCGCTAATGCGTCGATGTGTCGCGGATGTGTCGTCGATGTCGGCAATGCATCGGGGACGTCGGCGTGGAGAGAATCGGACTCTATATCGAGCCGCAGCGGCGATGCGGCGCGATCTTCCGACCCCATCTCCTCGGACCTGGATACGTGAATGCCACGTGTGAGACCCGGATGCGTGGACAGACTCTCGGCCGGCCGGGCCCTGGGCGGCACAGGCCACGCGGCGCACGGAAGCCTCCCGGATCCTGGCTGCACCCGTCTCGGCGGACCGGAGACCCCCTGCTGGACCACGACTATGTCGACGCGAGCTGGAGGCGCCCGCGGGCTCTCGTCGCACTCGGCGCTCGGGAGCCGCGGCTGCGCGAGGAGGACGACGTGAGAGGAGCTGGGTCGCCTGACAACGCCGCTCGCGCTCCGCAAAGAGCAGCAAAAGCGCATGGCTCGGCTTACAGATCCTGGAGCACTCGCGACGCACACGTGAAGGGCACCTGTCCAGCCAGGCCCCGAAGCGCGAAGCGCGGCAACATTCGCGCCCCCGTGGGTGAACCGACTGAGCTTCCAGAGCCCGTCCAGAGGTCGGTGCAACCGACGCCGTCCGAGACCGCGTGTAGACCTCCCAAACGAGGCCGGAGTAGATTTGGTAGGAGGGTCGCGCCACCTCGCCGATGCATCGCCGAAGCATCGGCGATACATCGACGGCATCGGAGATGCACCGGCGTCATAGGCATGACCAAAATCGGGCTTCGCATCACCAGCGATGCATTGGCGATGCCATCGGCGATGCTCCGGCATGCATCACGATCCTCCGACCTCAACTGTGAGGGGGCAACGAGGTAGCGATACCGCTTCTCCCTGGACCTCCCCAGGGGAAAATCCTGACCAGCGTGTTTGAAGGGGCCCTGGGACACACAAAGAAATACACACAAATAAAAATATTCCCCATATCTTCCCATATTTTCTGTGTTTTTGTCTTCCCGCCCATTTCCCATATTTTCCCATATTTTCCGGGGAATCGACGATTAATTGTGTCTGTGTGTTTTTTCCCCTCCTGAGTGTTTGGGCGAATCCAGCCGTGGCGACGTGGGAAGGGCCGCGGGATCGGCTCGCTCTTCCCCCCTCACAACGATCTCCGACCCCGTCTGGGAGGCCTGGACCCAGGCCGCCTGGGAGGCCACCCGGGGACTCACGAGGACCACTGCTCGTTGGGCCACTGACAGCAGGGCCGAACCTGAACGGTGTTTTTCGTCTTCGTTCTGTGTTCGCTTTCCCTCGTTCTGTCTCCAATGCGCCTTTCCCGCGAAACGAGGTTGAAACGAAAACGGCCCAAGAAGTCGCCCAGACACCGCTTATAGGTCCAGCCCTGACTGCTGGGAGCCTGTTTTTTTTAGACTCTGGCAAGTTTACTTGCATGGACGGGGGGGGGGGCTGAGCCTGAAGCAAACCGGGGGGGGGGGGCGCGGAAATCACGCAAGTCGAAAGGCACTTGCACGCTAGTATTCGCTTGAAGAGGGGCGAGTGGGGGGGGGACGGGGGGGGCCAACGCCATGCAAGTAAACTTGCCTGAATCCACAGAAAAAACAAGCTCCTGCTGGCGCGTGGGTCCACCGGTCACCGGGATGGCGGAGCGGCCCGCCCCACGACGCTCTCCGCCGTGCCCGACGGCCGTGGGACCGCACCGCCAGGGCGCCGGGTGGTGACGTGGCCCCAGCCCCGGCCAAGCCAGGGCAGACGCGAGGCCCCCCCCGGGAAGGAGGGAAGGAGGGGAGGGGGAGGAGGGGGAGGAGGGGGAGGAGGAGGGGGAGGAGGGGGAGGAGGAGGAGGAGGAGAAGGAGGAGGAGGAGAAGGAGGAGGAGGAGGAGGAGGAGGAGGAGGAGGAGGACGAGGAGGAGACGAGGCCGTCCGTGGCGGCCCGGGGCCATCCGAGGCCCGGGGTGCGCACGCGCAGAGGCGGGGGCGGCGCAGGCCCGCGGCGGCGGTTCGGGCCACGGGCGGCGTCCGCCCGGCGGCGTAAGGCCCAACGTCGTGCCATACGGCGGCGCCGCCGCCGAGCAGCGCACACCTCTCGGGCCGCGCGAAAGGGGGGGGCATATAGCAAAAGGGGGCTTTGAGAATCAGCTCACGTAGCTGATTCTCCCGGCGCCTCCCGGCGCCGGGAGGCGCCCAGGTATGAGCCTGTTTTTTAGACTCTGGCAAGTTTACTTGCATGGACGGGGGGGGGGGCTGAGCCTGAAGCAAGCCCGGGTGGGGGGGGGGCGCGGAAATCACGCAAGTCGAAAGGCACTTGCACGCTAGTATTCGCTTGAAGAGGTGCGAGGGGGGGAGGGGGGGGGGGGCGAACGCCATGCAAGTGAACTTTCCTGAATCCACAGAAAAAAACAGGCTCCATCGAGGAAGGGGCCCGGCGGCGGGGCCGAAACCAGCTGCATGCAGCAGATTTCGTAAGTACCCCCCCCCTTTCCTCATCCCCCCTTTCGTTCGGCCCGCACCTCTGGCGGCCCGCGGGGCGGCGGCGGGCTCGTGCGGCGGCGGGGCGCCGGCGGAGCGGGCGGCACGCCTGGGGGGCGGCGGCGGGGCCAAGCCGAGGGCCGGGGCTGGGCGAGCCAGGTCGAGGACGAGAGTTACTGAAGGGGCCCCAGGACACACAAACAAATACACACAACTAAAAAGATTTCCCATATTTTCCCATATGTTCTGGGTTTCTGTTTTCTCACCCACTTCCCATATTTTCCCATATTGTCTGGGGAATCGAAGATTAATTGTGTCTGTGTGTTTCTTTTCCTCCTGAGTTACGTCGCGATGGGCTCGGCTCAGGGTGCGCTTCAGGAGTTCTGGGATATCTGGCGGCCCTCGTCTTTCTGCAGCCCGTGTGGAACAGTGGTACATGTGGGACATCCGGGCAATCTTGGAAATCCCAGAACGCATCAATATAATTGCGAGATGCTCCTCTGAAGATCAAGATGGGGCAGGGTGCACACGCAGAGGTTACCTACACAACCACCCTGCCTGGCCGGGGCCATCCTGGGCCCTGGCATGGTGCACGCGCCCTCCTGGCCGATGCCACGGGGGTCTGGGCACACCACATACCATCCTGGGGCCGAGCGTGGCCCTGGCCGCCAGACATGGTGCATACATGATCCAGGGCTGCCCCCCCCGATGCTAGTGGGATCTGCCCCCCCTCCCACTGGATGGGTACGCCCGTGAGCCTCGGTGCCTCGGTATGGATCGCGAATGGGATCGTCCCCCCCCCTCCCCCCTACCCCCACCCTGTGGTCGTGGGCCTGTAGGAGTGGCGTGGTAGAGGGTGGACGTTGTGTTAGGTCGGGCCTGGACCCCCTGCTGAGGGATTTTGGACGAAAAATAAAAAAATACCCCAAAAATACTCAAAGAATGCTCAAAAAAACTCAAAAAATAGTCCCCAGACTAGTTTTTGACTGTCTTTGAATTTTCCCCCTGTAAAGGGACAGGCCCGACTTAAACGTTGTGCTGTTTTCGCGAGACCAGGGTCGCAGGGCCTCACGGATGGCATCGCGCCCCCAACCCCCCCCCGTGGCCGTGGCCCTGTGGACGTCGGGTGGCTGTCGGTGCCCCTTCCACCCCTCCCCCCTGTGCGCGTGGGGTGGTTCGTCGTCGTCGTCGTCATCGTCGTCGTCGTCTTCCGTCGGCGTCGGCGTCGACGCCGTCGTCTTCCGTCGGCGCCGTCGTCTTCCGTCGTCGTTGGCGTCTTCCGTCGGCGTCGGCGTCGGCGTCGGCGTCGGCGGCGGCGTCGGCGTCGGCGTCGGTGTCGACGTCGGCGTCGGCGGCGACGTCGGCGTCGGCGTCGTCGTCGTCGTCGTCGTCGTCGTCGTCCCCTCCATCCCATCTGGGGGGGGGCATCTGGAACCCTGGGACCCATCCCATCTGGGAGGGGGCCTGTGAACCCTCGACCCGGGGTCACACATGCCTTCTGCGGAGAAGAGCGCAGGACAAGCTGCGAGGCAGCTCGTCGCCGAAGGTCTTCGATGGCGGAGCCAGGAGCTCGGGACTGCCAAGCCAGACTAGAGAAATCTGGCAGAACAAAAAAAGCTGTTTTTTTGACATCAACATCGCTGAAAATAATGAGCCACCTCAATCAGAGCTGTCCGTGTCGGCAGCACTGATCCCCTCCTTAAAAGACCTAGCGATCTCTGCTCGAGGGCGTGAGCGCACTCCCTCAAGCACAGCAGCGCTAGAGGCAGAGGAGGAGGGGGCAGAGGTGAAGACGGAACAGGCCAGAAACTACCAGGGGCGATGCTGACTCAACCTCCCAGGAACTGCAACCTCGAACTGGGCAGGGTGCAGAGTAAGACAAAGAGGGTGACGAGTGACAGCAGCTCAGCAGCAGGGGGAGGACGTGACGGGCAGGGCAGAGGTCGAAGCCCAATAGGTGGGACGAAGAGCGGAGCCCACGTGCATGACCGAGGCCTTGGCCCAGTGGCTTCCTGCGGGCACAGCATCCTTCCCAACCAACGCAAGGAGGACGAACACTCACATGCGAGGAGCAAGAGGACCCACGCGCAAGATCTGCAAGGTGGTGGTTCTCCACACGACAATATGCCCTGTCTCCGTGCCATGCTCGTCGCTATGGTCGGGGACGGCTCGGTGAATGACGGTATCGATGAGGACAAAACCAAAGGTCGGACCGACCCCGACGGTGCCAGCTATCCGCAGCGGGAGGAAGGGGGGACCAGAGCGGAGGCCAGAGGAGGAGGCAAACGGGGTAGTTCAATGATATCCCGTTTGCTCTCGTTCCAGCGGGCTCGAAAGATGGGGGAACACGTGAGGACGGGGGATATGGACCCCGTGCCGCCTGCCACCGCACACCCCGAGCATCACAGGCCGCCTTGCGAGCCTGACGCCACACGGGGCGACATGGCTGCCAGACTTGCAGGCGCTGCCGCCCGGGCCGGCGCTGCGGGCCTCCCGCCGCTCCCTCCGACACCGCCCCAGGGAATGCTGAGGCCGCCACTTCGCCAACACGGTGGCGGGCTACCGCGCCGTTGCCGTGTGGCCGCGGCCTTGGCCGCGGTCTGCCACCTTCTGGCCGGCACGGTCAACTCTGAGGGAAAGGTGGGGAACGCCACTGAAACCACGTTGTTTGGGCGTGGCTTAATGGGGGGTCACAAATGGGGGGGTCAGAAAAGGTCCCCTTTCGTGCGGGCCCCTCCAGAGCCCCAGGGGGCTCGTTTAGGTACCGTTTGGCTACCTTTTCGGGCCACCCTCGACACACCCCCATTTATGACCCCCCCATTACGCGGCGCCCAAGTTGTGAGCTCTGAGCCACGCCGGGCTGAAGGCAACAAGGCATCGACTGTGAGCACAGTGCGCTGTTGCGTCGGGGCGATGGGCCTCTCCGCAGGGCAGCAGAGGTAAGCGAGGCGCCCGCAGCTAGCTGCACGGACGGCGAAATCGTGCCGCCCTGGACACCACCGCAAACTGTGAATGTGGGGGCACGGGTAAGTCGAGCGCACCATGCAGGGTGCAACGACGGTCCCTCAGAAGCGAGTCGATGCTGCCCTGAACGGTGCGTAAAAGCTCTTACCTCGCGATGCCCCGCGAGGCGAAGTGCGATGTGGGAGGCCGGTGTCTGCCAACTGTTGAGCCCGCCGCTTCCTCTTTCTTCCTATCTCTCTCTCTCTCTCTCTATTTCTTCTCTATCCAAGTCGCGCACCAGCCGCCAGGCGCGGAGACCTTCCCGCGCGCCGACGCGCGCGCCCGCCGAACGTGGAACCGTGAGAGTCGTGACAACGGCGCTTGTTATCTGGCAGCGCCCAAGCCCTTGCACAAATGCCATTGCGATGACGTGAGGTCTTATGCTGCATCGTGCCTCATACGTACGCTGCTTCTCTGCTCGACAGCCTTGCGAGGACGCTCTTTGAGTCTGTTGATGACGTGAGACATTGATTGCGACGCATCGCATGTCTGGCCGATTCTGCTCCCACGCGTCAGTCTGGCCCATGGCGATGACCTCCTGCTGTCATGGCTGATGCCGCCTATGCACGAACCCCTCCTCTTTAGTAACAATGAAAGGCGACACCAACACCAACAGGGCGAGGAGATGCGCGGAGGCAAGGGGGGTCTCCCTGGTGGTGTGGTCCCCCCCTCTCGCTCGAGACATCCCCAGTCTCCCGCTCGGGGAGGAACTGTGACCTCCTCGCTGGAGGTGGGCCCCCTGGTGGTGTTGATATCGCTCCTCCTCCCTCCGACTCTCGACTGGCTGTGGATTGGCCACGGCTTCCGCCAGCTTCCGTGTCCCTTCGGCTGGCCTCCTCCTCCTCCTCCTCCTCCTCCTCCTCCTCCTCCTCAGAGGCCAGACCCCTGAGTTCCTCGACGGCGAGGTCCGCTCCAGAGGTGCTGCGCGGCAGAGGCAGCAGCACGGCGGCGCAAGCAAGGGAAACAGAGAGAGAGAGCGAGGGGGGATGGAGGGTGGGGGGGAGGAAGAGGAGGAGGAAGAGGAGAAGGAGGAGAAGGAGGAGGAGGGGGAGGAGGAAGAGGGGCAACGATAGGGGGAGGGGACTGGCTTGCAGTCAACGCGCTTCTATACGGAGCGCATGATAAGGAACGCGGAGGGGCTGTTTTTTGGCCACGGCGGGCCCGTGGCCAGAAGCAAGCCCCAAGACACACATCTGAGGAACAGCCCGAAAGCTCAGGCCCCTTCTGGGCCCAAAGTGGTCCTCCTCTCGGCGACTTGACTGTAGGGGGGAACACGTGGACCTGGGGCCGGCGACACATCGCCGACTGACACATCGCCGACTGATCGGCGATGGTCCCCCGATATTATCGAGTCCGCACGCTCCTGGGCTGGGCGGAGCCGTCGGGCTCCCGTTCGCGACCTCAGGGGGCACCTGCGGGTCGAAGCCTGCCCCTCCCCGGCCTTCCCCCCCTCCTGTCGCTGCCCCCGATCCGATGAGAGAGAGGAAGAGGATCAGCGGCGACGATAGGGGCGACTAGCCCATGGGAGAACAAAACATGTTTTCAAATGCGCCGATGATTGATGTCTTCGAAAGGCTCCCGGGCGAATACGTGTAATGCCCCCCCCCCCTGGTCTATTCGCCCCTATCGTTGTGGATGCCATGACAATGGACACTCTAACAATTCATCGAATCAAACATGTTTTTCAAATGTGTAAGACATGTTCTGAAAACGTTTCAATAATGTTTCAACCTATTCTAACGTGGTTGGAACATCTTTTAGGCATCTGGAAACTATTTGGCAGCATGCTTCCTCTCCATGATTCGACTTCCATAACCCTATCGTCGCCGCCGAGAGAGAGAGGGAGGGGAGGGAAGGAGGACACCCCGCGGGCGGGAGCGCGGGCAGGGGCGCCGCCGCCCCCGCGGCAGCAGGAGCCTCAGGGTCTCCTGGGGGAGCTGCGCTCGCAACCCCACGCCTGGACCCCCATCGGCGGGGAGCCCAGCTCGGGGGCGCGCAAACATTCGGGAACCGAACTCTATGCACCAACGCTTTTCCTGGCCCTGCGCTGAGACTTTCACAAGGAAGCGGATCCTGGTGTGTATGGGGTCCTGGTGCATACATGCTTCGTTGTTTCCCTGGGGAAACGGGGAAACAGTATACACCGCACCACCCCGACGTCGTCTCCGACCCTCAAAAAGTCCTGGGATTGAAAGGTAGCCCGCAACTGGTAATGTATATGTTCCAATTTCCGAAACACGGATCGGGGGAGGTGCCCTCCCCAAAATGCGGCCGGTGCCGCCTCGCTCGGCGGCGGAAATCCGCGATTTCTCATGGAAACGGGACCCGTCGCTAATCCACGCCCCCTGGATCCATGTTTGCGACCGCCTGAGGGGGGAGGCGAGAAGGAGCGGGCCTTCTCACCTCCCCCCTGGCCTTCTGAGAAATTCTCAAAGCCCCTGAAGACACAGGAACCTTCTTCGAAGGTTGGGGGGCTCCCGAAAAGCCCAGGTGCCTTCTGAGAGGGCCTTTTCCTTCTCATTTCCCCCCCTCGCTCGCCGCCAAACTACGGAGCGTGGATGCATTACTGCGGGCTCTCGTTCTGTTCCGGGGCGCCTTGAGGAACCCATGCTACCTTGGGAGAGATTCTCTGGGGGTCATCCGCAGACTGGGGCATATCGTAAGGAATCTGGCCATACTGTTCACTTCTCCAACTCGTGTACGTTCCACGCAACGCCATCCCATTAGCAGTCAATTGATTTTCACCTGTGCGAAGGTAACAGCTCTCACGTGGGAGGCGAAAAGGGTCTGGTAGATCGGAGGTGAGGGGGTGAGATCGAAGTGGAACGGAGAGCCCCCTTACCGGGAAATCGATTTCGGTTTCGTGTTCGTGCGTGCCGTGCGGGCGGGCGAGGCGAAGCTGCGTGGGCGGGCGAGAAAAAGCCTCCTGTGGCTGAGGCGCGGCCGGACCAAATGTCTCCCTTCCAGGCGGCCGGTGGCCCGCGGTGTCCCGCCAATGTCCCGCGAAAGTCCCGTGTGGCTGAGGCGCGGCCGGACCAAATGATTCCCTTCCGGGCGGCCGGTGGCCCGCGGTGTCCCGCCGGAGTCCCGCGGTGTCCCGCGGTGTCCCGCGGTGCCCCGCGGTGTCCCGCCGGTGTCCCGCGGTGTCCCGCGATGATGATGATGATGATGATGATGATGATGATGATGATGATGATGATGATGATGATGATGATGATGATGATGATGATGATGATTGATGATGATGATGATGATGAATGATGATGATGATGATGATGATGATGATGATGATGATGATGATGATGATGATGCTGATGATGATGATGATGATGATGATGATGTGATGCTGATGATGATGATGATGATGATGATGATGATGCTGATGGTGTCCCGATGATGAGGATGATGATGATCATGATGATTATGTTGATGATCATGATGATGACGATGATGGTGTCCCGATGATGATGAGTATGATGATGTTGATGTTGATGATGCTGATTATGATTGTGTCCCGATGATGATGATGTTGATGATGATGAGGTTGATGATGATTATGGCGTCCCGATGATGATGATTATTATGATGGTGATGATGATGATGTTGATGATGATGGCGTCCCGATGGTGATGATGATGATTGTGATGATGATGATGATGATGTGTTGATGCTGATGTTGGTAATGATGATGATGGTGCCCAGATGATGACGATGATGATGCTGATGATGATGTTGATGATGCTGATGATGATGATGATGTCGATGATGAGGATGAGATGATGATGATGATGGTGTCCCGATGATGATGATGATGCTGATGATGATGATGATGATGATGATGATGATGATGATAACGATGGTGATCATGATGGTGTCCCGATGATGATGCTGCTGCTGATGATGATGATGATGACGACGATGACTGTGTCCCGATGTTGCTGATGATGATGATGCTGATGATGATGATTGTGATGATGGTGATGATGATGATGGTGGTGTCCCGATGATGTTGATGACCGTGATGATGATGATGATGGGTGTTGATGATGAGGACGGTGTCCCGATTATGATGATGTTGGTGATGATGATGTTGATGTTGATGTTGTTGTTGATGATGATGATGACGTTGATTGTGAGAGCGGTTGTGATATCGATAGTGAGATCGATAGTGAGACCGAATGTGATATCGATTGTGAGATCGATTGTGAGATCGATAGTCAGATCAATTGTGAGATAGATCGAGTGAGATCGATTGTGAGATCGATCGAGGGAGATCGATCGAGCGAGACCGATACTGAGATCGATAGTGAGATCGATAGTGAGACCGATCGAGTGAGACGTTGGTTACTCCCCCCCCCGAACCTCCTTATCACCCGAAGGGTGGTCGTATAGGTAAGCCCTGACCTGCACCGACCCACAAGAGATTCTAATCAGCGGGAGCCTGGAAAACCGCCGCACATTACGACACAGCACGCCAGAAACTCGAACACTTATCGGAGGTGAGGGGGTGAGATCGAACAGGAACGGAAAGCGCCCCTACCGGGAAATCGATTTCGGTTTCGTGTTCGTGCGTGCCTTGCGTGCGGGCGAGGCGAAACTGCGTGGGCGGGCGAGAAGAAAGTCTCCTCCGGCTGAGGCGCGGCCGGACCAAATGATTCCTTTCCCGGGGCCGGTGGCCCGCGGTGTCCCGCCGGTGTCCCGCCGGTGTCCCGTCTGTGTCCCGATGATGATGATGGTGATGGTGATGATGATGATGATGATGATGATGATGATGATGATGATGATGATGATGATAAGGATGAGGATGAGGATGATGATGCTGTCGACGATGTTGATGATGATGATGGTGGTGGCGGTGATGATAGCGATGTCCCGATGATGACGATGATGATGTTGACGATGTTGACGATGATGATGATGATGATGATGATGATGATGGTGATGGTGGTGATGATGTTGGTGTCCCGATGATGATGTTGATGATGGTGTCCCGATGCTGATGATGGTGTCCCGATGATGATGATGATGCTGATGATCATGATGATGTTGATGATAATGAGATGATGGTGAGATGATGATGGTGATGAAGATAATGATGATGATGGTGTCCCGGTGATGATGATGAGGTTGATGATGGTGCTGTTGATGATGATGGTGATGATGATGATGATGGTATCCCGATGATGATGATGATGTTGATGATGATGATGGCGATAATGGTGTCCCGATGATGATGATGTTGTTGATGAGGATGATGATGTGATGATGATGATTTTGATGATGATGGCCCGATGATAGTGATGATGATGATGATGTTGATGATGATGGTGTCCCGATGGTGATGATGATGGTGATGATGATGGTGACGATGATGATGGTGTCCCGATGATGAAGGATGATGTTGATGCTGTTGATGATGATGGTGTCCCAATGATGATGGCGTTGATGTTGTTCATGATGATGATGGGGTGATGATGCTGGTGATGATGGTGGTGTTCCGACGATGATGGTGTCCCGATGATGATGATGTTGATGATGATGATGATGGTGACGATGGTGGTGTCCCGATGATGATGATGGTGATGATGATGATGTTGATGATGATGTGGTGATGATGATGGTGTCCCCATGATGATGATGATGATGATGACGTTGATGACGATGATGTTGATGATGATGGTGTCCCGATGATGATGATGATGATGATGATGATGATGATGATGACGTTGATTGTGAGATCGATGGTGCTATCGATAGTGAGATCGATAGTGAGACTGAATGTGAGATCGATTGTGAGATCGATAGTGAGATCGATTGTGAGATCGATAGTCACATCGACTGTGAGATCGATCGAATGAAAATAGATCGAGTGAGAGCGATTGTGAGATCGATCGAGTGAGATCGATCGAGCGAGACCGATAGTGAGATCGATAGTGATATCGATAGTGAGACGTTGGTTCCTCGCCCCCGAACCTCCTTATCACCCGAAGGGTGGTCGTATAGTTAAAACAGGTGTTTGGCGGTCGTCGGCGCGAAAGCTGGGTGGTTGCTTTCTGCAAGGGGTCCATGATCAAACACCTAGGCATGAGGGACAATGTCGATCCAACTTTGCATCTATCCGCCGACCCCTTGGGTGTCATCGGCGTGTGTCGGGGGCGCGTAAACATGGCTTAGCGATCCATGGATTTGGCGCGCGGTCGCCAAATCCATGGATCGGGGGAGGTGCCCTCCCCAAAATGCGGCCGGTGCCGCCTCGCGCGTCAGCGGAAATCCGCGATTCCCCATGGAAACGGGAGCCGTCGCTAATCCACGCCCCCTTGATCCACGTTTGCGATCGCCTGGTCCTTGGGCGTCATCGGCGTGTGGAATGCTCCCCCCTCCCCAAACCCCTCTCCCAGGAGCCCGGTCCGGTCGGTTTGGAAGGGGGGATCCTCCGGGGAGGGGTGGAACGCGCCACGGGGGACAGTTCTTGCGAAGCCTCGTGACAAGCATATGTGCAGTTAAGACAAGCTAGCGCGGCGCGCAGTACCTCCGCACAGCTGTCTTCCAGCTGTCTGCTGGGATGGCATCTATATTCTCTCTGGGAAAACCGCAGACGGCAGCGGCGTGCCTGCCGACTTCTCCGGCCAACGTCTGCCGGGGACGACCTCTCTTCCTAACGCCAGGTGATCTCTTGAGAACGCACGGGGGGCAGAGGTCCCCAAAGCATGCCAAGAGGCCACAAAGAGTCCCTCGGGACGGTCAGAAAGGCCACGGACCGCCGAAAGATCGATCCAAAATGCCCACGCTGGCTTCCAGACGGCCCACCCAAAAGCCTTCAAGAGTTGAGTGAAGACGGCCTCAAGAAGCATAAATCGTTTCAGTTTCATCGGGAAACGTGCATTCGCTGTGACACATTCCCTTGTTGTCTGTTTACGATGTCCAAGAC